GTTGTTTATCTTGTTCCTTTTTTTTTTGTTGGACCTTGAGTCTGAAATAAAGTTCTACTACTACTATAAAAATTGGTTTAAAATCAAATTTTAATTAAATATTTATGACCCAATGCAGCAAAATAAGCTAATTAAAAAAGGTAAAGGATAATATTTCTATTCTTTTACATAATGCAGTGTTTCCCCTACTATTGTTGAGCTCAAAAGCCAACAGCTCAGAGGCTGGATGTCCGACCACAGCTTCAAAGTTGTCTCCCATTTCTCACATTTTTTGACTTGCAAAATCTTATCTGAGAACCTTTTAAAATGGTTTTAAACCAGTTTTTTAAAGCTTCACTAAGAACCCTCTTTGACAACTTTTTTTTTCTGTGAATGTCATTTATAATTTGTCTTTAACAGTCTCCTTTTTAGAGCACTGGGTTCAAGGTTGCAGTGGGACTCTGGTCATTATCCCAGCATTCATAGTTCGGCGGTCCGTCACAGGGCCACACAAACAACATGCATGCTCATTTTTGAATCACTAGATGAAACCCATAGAGGAGCCAAACATGTGGGGAGAACATGTAAATTCATCACAGAAAGATCTGCACAGCCGAGCTTTGAACTGCTTATTATCATTATATTATTTCCAATAATTGGAAAAAATACACACAAAGTGGAGAGCATGGCACTCGATATACTTCTTACCTCATAGCCACGTTGCTCCCATCAATGACGATTGTCCTCAGCTTTGGGTCTCCGGGTTGATCTGTTAGCTTAAGGTCAAAGGGCGTCTGCAGACCCTCCAGGAAGCGCTGCTCCCCTGTCACCACCAGTGAAGAGGCGGCGATGTTGCTCCGCTTGTCGTTGTTGGTAAAAAGGTGGGGTTGCGCTTGGAGCGGCTGTTTTGAGGAGTTTGAAGAATGCTGTGGGATGTTTGAGGCGTGGATTTTAGTTTGATGGTTCTGTTTGGACGCGCTGGGATCAGGCCAGTGGGGGGGCTGCTTGTTAGACAGAAAAGATTGAGGATCCAGGGCGGAGTGATACGTAGGCATGGGTGGCCCTTTGACATCGGGGAGGATGACTTGGGTTGGAGGGGTTAAAGGCTGTTGATGCCTTGGTTGTGGGGTGGGCTGAGTGGAAGGCAGCTGCTGAGCTTTATCAGCCCAGGTAAGCAGATCAAATTCTGCTTTAGGTCCAGAACAGTTTGTCACCTTTACATGTCCTTTTTCATCCAATTCTCTCTTGTCCTTCTGTAAGAAGAGATCAAATTCTCCTTTTGGTTGAGGATGAGTTGGTTCAATGACTTGCCATTCTTCCTCCAAGACCACATCTTCAGTGTCCTTAGCTTCCTCTCTGCYCCCTTCCTTCTGTAGCTCCAGTAGCAGTTGGTGAGTGGATCCATCAGACAACTTTCTGTAGACTTTGGTTACATCCTGCTCCGTGTACCCACAGCTAACAGCTGCCTTTTTCAACACGCCCAGGACGAAGTCTTCCTCCTGTTCTGTCCTCTCCAACGCAGAACTGCCTTCCCCCATAAAGTCTTTCAAACTTCTCGCCRCCTCTTTTATCCCCTCTTGTTCATTCGTTGCAACGGATTCCTTGTCACGAGTTGCTTTACCCGGCCCTGCCGACGCTCCCTCGCCCTCCTCGTGCTCTGTCTCGCAGGGCTGGCCCCCTCCTCGATTCAGAGCGGTCGTGTTTTGATCATCCTTTTCTGCTTCGCCGTTGGTCTCCTGCTCTCGGTCGTTGCGATCCTGTTCTTGCTGAACCAAATCCAGAATCTGCGAAGCCTCTTTAAGTCCGGTTCTTGCGAGGACTTTTTTCACCACGTCCTCGGTGTAGCCCATGGCTGTGAAGAACTTCAAGAGAAGCAAAAACTCCTTGTTTCCTATCGATGCCTGCTCTTGGTCCTCATCATTCTGCGGTCTGTTGTTCATCCAGGGGTCTGCTGTTTGCTGCTGCGCTGGTTGTTCTTCTTCTCCCATCTCCTCAGGAGAGTGCAGGAGTCTTTGCTCTGCACCTTCTGCCCTCCCTCGTGTGCCTACAGGGGACATAAAAGCTTTAAAGGAGGGGTCCTGAGCTGACGAGGCTCTGCCTGCAGACATTCCTTCAGCCCATCGATCAGTGGTACCGAAAGGATCCGGCAGTGTTTGTTTAGTGGCACTGGATTTGTCCCATTCCTCATTAGAAACCTTCCTTGACTTTTCACCAGTTTTCTCAGACGTGAGCACTGAACTCGGACTCGACCCGAGACCAGACTCTTTCACTAAATTCAACAGGGTTTCCTTCACCGTCACTGGCAGAACAAGAAGGTCCAGAGTGTGTCTGTCCTCCCACTTCTCTACTAAAGTTTTGAAAGCCCGCCGGGAATCCAGGGACTCGCCGGAGCTCCTGTCCCCAGTGTCTGTGCGTTTGGACTGCGTGCCCTCGTACCGCTCCACGAGGTCGGCGATGAGGGAGTAGGCCCGCACAACCGGCTCCATGAGACCCGATATGAGCAGGAATCCAGGAGATCCGATCTGTTGGCCACGAGAAAAAGACAGAACTACATTAATCCTACGGACTAATGTAAATCCTGACATCAACGTGTTTCATGTGACAAATTCTGTTGCCCCCCCCCCCATCCCCATGATGAAAACAAATCAAATGAACTTTTGATTATTTGGATTTTCTGTAACAGAAGTGTACCTGAAGAGATTTGCTTCTCTGCTGCAAAGGCTCAACTACGTGTTGTTTTTTGGAGGGATGAATACATGTACCACTTTTTAGTCTTATCTAGAATTATTTAAAATAACTTTTCCCCCCATTTAAATTGGTTATTCAGAAGAATTTCTGTAGAATTAGGGTTGGGCAATATTGGCAGAAAAACTAATCACAATTAATTGTGGTATTTAGCCGATTACAATTAATGTGACGATCAATCCCCTGGAGTCCCTGGACRCCCTCATRTCCTAATCAGATGACTAATTTAAATCACTCTAGTGGAAAAGATTTGCTCTGCGTAAACGTCTGTTCCGAATTGTGTCAAAAGGACGGACTTCAGGCTATACATCAATATTTAAATTATGTTGATAAAACAAGTAAAACTGGAGTTATGATAATTACAGAACTTTAAAAAATGTTTGTCATATATATATA